TATTAGTTCCTAACTTGCAGCCTCCGCAATTTCAAGTATATTATGGTATATTTTATTATTCAAAAAAATTTATTTTATGTGTACGGGTGTGCTGGCTAGCTTTATGTCACCGTCATACAGGCTGGAGTCGTTTAGGAAGAGGGAACTCAGTTGAAAAATATGTCCCCACCTCTGGGCCAGACTGTGGTGCATTTTTCTGGTTGATGGTGATGTGGAAGGGTCCAGATTACTCTGGGTGTTGCTATCCCTGGGCTGGGGGTCCTGGATCTTATGAGAAAGCAGGGTGAGCAAGGCACGAGGACCAAGCCAGCAAGCAGCGATCCCCGTGACCTCCGCATCAATTCCTGCCTCCAGGTTCCTGCCCCCCTTGAGTTCCGGTCCTGACTTCCCTCAGCGATGGTCTGGGAATGTGGAACTATAAACTGAAATACACCTTCCCAAGCTGCTTTTGTCCCTAATTTGTACGAAGGGTGTGAAGCCGGCCTGTGTGTGTGTGTGTGTGTGACCTTATGAGTGCCTGGTTCCCTTGAAGGTCAGAAGAGGGTGTTGACTCCCTTGGAACTGGAGTTTAAGGTGGTTGTGAGCCACCACGTGGGTGCTAGGAATTGAACCCAGGTCTTCTGAGAGAACAGACAGTGCTCTTCACTGTTGACCCATTTTTCCATTCCTCAAATGTATTTTGAAGAAGTCCCTTCTCACTTTCCTTAGAGAGCACATTAATAGCTGTGCTAGTAAAACAGTAAGTTCCAAGACGATCATTACAGCCGAAGTTAAAATAAATACATAAATGAAATAAGATTCCAAGTCTGTTGTCTGGTGTGGAACCTCTGTCACTGTTTTTCGAGACAAGGTCTCATACATCCTCCACTGGCCTTCAACTCACTGTAAGGCAGAGGCTGTCCTTAAACTCTGGTCCTCCCACCCCCATCTCCCTACTGCGGGACTGCAGGATTCTAGTTGTGCATGGCCAGGGCTGGTTTACAAGGAGCTGGGGATCCAATTCCAGGGTAACCCCTTTGCAGTGTCAGTGAGGGAATCCATCTCCCAACTCAAAAGCCAGTTTGGAGAGGAGATGAAAATCTGATTACCTTGAAACACTGTCAGTTTTGAACGAACAGATTTATCATGTCTGTGTGCATCATTGCCGTTCTTAGGGATGCTGAGGTTCGAGTTGAGAACAAAAATCAGGGGCAAAAACTTAGTTTGCTCCTGTGAACAGCAGCTCAGAATGAGACAGGGGGGTTCTGTTTATCCCTAAGGCTGCCTCAGCAGTGGCTCCAAACTTTGATAGTGTCTTTTTTTCCCCTTATTTTTTCTCACTTTTTTTTTTTTTTTTATCCAAAGATGTTGAGCAGCAGGCTAATGGCTCCCCAGCAGGGTGTAAAGACAGCAGAAAGCTCTGGAATCAGATGTCAATGTATTCCTGCAAGACATCCTGCTAGGCCAGAGCTAACTAACCAGGGCTTTCCACTTCTCCTGGGGAACACGCTTTGATGCTCCCCCGCCTGCTCTGGGCCTCCTGTATGCTTCCTGATTAAAATGCTGTCACAGATAAATCATGCCTTCTGCCTGTTTGGACCGCTTTCTCTCCCCCACCCTCTCTTTGTCTTCTTTCCAAAAGTTTGGAACCCTAAGATTTAAAAGATAAACATATGTTGTGTCTCCTTATGTAACCGCGAGGAATCTGGGGCTGGTCCCCACTGTGCCCTCCCACCTGGCCTGCAGTCACAAGGGGTTGCTCTTCATTTCAGATAGAAATAGTTGTATAATGAATCAACACCCCAACACTATATGTTTTCATGTATTTTCTGTCTGCCGCTTTGGCCCTATTATTTCCTATTATTTATTACTTGAGTAGCTGTCTCACGAACAGATTTTAGTGTGAGAACTCCTCCCTGTTTTCCCTCCACATAGTTACGGATTGCCTGGGGATTAACACTGTCCAGTAGACAAGAGTTTGGATTTTTTTTTTTCAACGAATGGGCATCAGAATGCTCTGGTGTGGGTTCCCACTGAGGCCTCTTCGGGCACCTGTGTGAGCAATGACACTTGTTCCCCTTTGCTCAGAGGGAATCCGAAGTCAACAACCAGAGGCACCAGCAGGAAGTGCTCCGCCAACTAGGATGTTTAACACGAAGAATCCTTTGAAAGTCACAGAGTAAAACCGAGTTACCCAGTAAAGTCCATGGAGCAAAGTAGCGGCTCTTCAACCCTACTTATATCTCCTGCCCCGCTGCATGGCCGCCCTCCTCCTCCAACTCCCTGCCGCCCTAGCCTTATACAGAGCAGCCTCAAGCCTCTCCAGCCTCCATCACTTTGTGCTCCTCCCAAAGGACCCTCTCATTCTTCCCAACACAATTCCTTTGCTTGGGCTCGACACGACTCTCTTGCCATCTATGCCTGCTGTCTCGGAGTCTGTGGTTTTGCCATTAGAGGGGATGTCTATTTTGTGTCTTGTGATCCCTAATCTTTGCCCCTTTGCCATGTCCCAGTCATCTCAGCAAGACTACGCGGGATTCTTCTCTTCTGTGTTTCAGACTGTGTCCCTCTAGCCCTTGCGCCGTGGGAACCTCTGCCAGCTGTATACCACCTCATTTGTCATCTACCCTCTCAGAACCCCATTTTTGCATGTCTGTGTTCAAAACCCCAGTGCCCTTTCTGCAGCAGCCCTACTTGTCCCAAACACCTTGCCTAAGGGGCCAGTGTCATTTCAGTGACTTTTTTGGCTATCTCCTTAAGACCGCTGTCTTCCCAATAGCCGCGGTTCCCGCCCAGTGACTGACCTCATTTCATTTTGGGGACAGCATCAGTTAGTGTGAGATTGTCCACTGCACGACGTGTAAGATAGAACTCGACAGAGATGCTCTGAGGGGCTCTTTCGGTGCTGGCTGCACTTGCAGTTTGATGGCTCAGTTGGTTTCAAAGCCTTACAAAGAATTCATAGCAGAAATTGCGCAATAAAAGCAATAGCGGTGATAAGAAACCAAGAGAGAACAAGCTTTTCATTGCCCGCTCATGAGAGACAACAGCGGTGAACACTGAGCATCAGCCTTATGAGCAACTTTCTCCACCTGCTCCTTCAGGGTGACGCGGCTTTTCACAGTGAGAGAAAAGTCAGAAGGAGAGCCAGGCTGCTGGGAAGCCTCCACACAAGAGCAAAGGCCGAGGTGGAGAAGGACTCAAATTAAATGTGCAGGTGCATCACTGGGTCTGTGTGTTCCATTTCCTGAAACAACAGGTGTGTCTAACCTCAGAGATGAGTAAGGAAAGAAAATCAGGATGCTGTGTGATGCACGGTGGAAATACTGTTCTCTAAATCGTCAGCACTATCTTTTCTGTTTAACTTCAAGTAGCTTCCTTCTTATCCCAAAGATTCCAAAATATCTAGGAGCAAATACAGGATAAGCCCAGAGAGCTGGGGACCAGAAATGAAACAACAGACTCGGGGTGGGAGCCGCATGCAGGCCCTTGGCAGCACGTGAAGTTAACTGAGCTTTACTCCCTTCCAGAAAGAGAAACTTATCAATTAAAAGAGTAAAGTATCCATCCCATTAAAACCTACGCATGGGGCACCGAGTAACACTAAACCATAATTCCATGTGGGCAACCAAGGGAAACTCAGCAAAGCAAAAGGTACCTGACCAGCACCCGTGGACTCTACGTGGGAGCCTGCTTATTCTGTGCTAAGGGTGGGGGAGCAGACAGGAAGAAAGAGTGTTAGGATCCTCTTTATAACAAACTACATCGTTCTCAATGTTTCTTGTCCAATCTTTCATTATTAGATGAGGGGATATTATAGTCATTTGTAACCACAACAATTGATTTTAGATTATCTTATAACTGTATCTGATTGATTTTATGATATTGGGCATTTAATGGTTCACATGAAACAACAAGTGAATTTACTTTTATCATTTGTGGTTATTAGAGTTACATTTCGGTCCTGAAGACACTATTCTAATTTGTTTGTTTCCAGGGGACTGTGACAGGTCTCTGTAGCTCGTAACAGTACTGACAACGAAGTGGTGGGTAAGCCTGGGACTTAATGGTTGTGACGTCCTTAAAAAGCCATCCTGGGTCCTTAATGGAGTAGCAGGGAATGAGACACTAAAGAGGCTTAGCTTTCCCTGCGTGCATCTCACTTGCAAGTTAGGAACGTGGCTCAGACGGATTGAGCTAGGTCGGGGGTAAAGAACTCGTCAGGGGGTGTATAGATGAAAACAAATGCTTAGCCATAGAATTAAAAAGCAATGTACACGAAACTGTTAGTGCAAACGGATGCGGATGCGGGCCCTGAGCAGAGCTCCGAAAGCGGAATGTGAACCCTTCAAAGCTGACACATATCTCCTTGCCCCGGGCAGGCTCTGCACCAGGCAGAAGCAAGAACTCATTAGTGGCACTGCTCAGGATTCACGGCTGGGCACGGTTACGTTTCCTTAAAGACAAAGGCAGATTTTAAAGATGGAAGATGCTTCCCATACAAAACCCAGTGGTCCAGACCCTGGGGTCAGAGCAGAAAGGTCTGTTTGATGAGATCCTGTGTCTCACATGCTACTAATAAAAATTAAAAGCAAAATAAATTTATATTTGAGAAATTCAGGGTTAATCAAGGCTAAGCATGCTTCTCTCGCACTAGATTTCACTAAGCCTTCAATATTTTAGTGTGTATGGGAGTTTCCTTAGTTACTAGGCTTCTGAGCTGTGTGTTCTGGAGAGATGGTGTTGACTATGGCCGCATCCTTGAGTTTCAAGGCAGCACCATTTGGTGAATGCAGAGATGAAATATTATAATCCCTGGTTTACAGACAAGAAAGGTGAGGCCGTGGAGATTACATTTCAGAAAGCGATGGAGACATGGAGACCTGAGGTCTCCATCTTCGAAGCACCAGCTCTTGGTTCGTACCCTGCAAGCGTCTCCCACTTCAAACGTTTCTGAGAACCTTACCCATGCTCTCTGTCGCCTCGGGCAGGACACACAGACACTCACAAGCCGGCAGTACCTGATACAAAGGCATGCAGATGCTGTCAATCCACTCCAGCTGCAAGCGAGGCAGTTCGTCTTTCCGGTTCCGGTCAAAAATAGCCTGGAGGAGAGAAGCAGAAGCCTGGCCTTTATCCCAGTCGCTTTGTCAAACGGTGCGTCAGATGTCACCAGCTGAATATCTCACAAATCACCAGTCTTACACACAGCCTCTCTCCCTTTCTCTACCATGGAAAATAAAGTATTTTCACAGATCTCCCAAGATGAGATTTGCAAGTGAATTTGTTTGAACTTTATGGCGTTCAGCTCCTCGGGGCCAAAAGCTGTCTGCAGGTACAGGTAATGGTTACTAAATCAAGTCAGCAGGTCACTGGGAACTGGGTGAAGTCAAGGGGAAGGAGATACATCTTTTTGCCACAAAAATAATGCAGGTTTTTACTTCCGCGGTGAGAAGATGCCCAAGCTTGGAAAAGAGCCTTAGCAGCAGGGTTTCTTTTCTTTTTTCCCTCTTATGAAACATAAATTATTTTATGAGATTTTAAGGTTGGGCGCTGGTGCGACAATCACGTGTTTTCTAGTAAGGTTCTGCGATTAGCAGGGTACGGAGCACTTGCTCTGGACGGATGGTGGGGGCAGGCACGCATCCTTTCTTCAGCCCAGCCTTCAAATTTTATGACATTATTATACTTGATATAATTTTTGCGTATTTCTAAAAGCTAGAGTGATTTATTTCTATCGGGAAGACTTTGGTCAACAGGAATTAGAGGGTTAAAATGAATTCCTTTAATAAACAGTCAACTCATCTCCAGGGAGAATGTCCTTCCTTTTGTTCTTAAAAAGTAAGGGGCCTATGACGTTTCCTTCTGCCCGCTGATCAGGAAGAGGGCACTGCCTTGTTAGAATTTGTCTTGCCTTATTGAAAGGCGAGGTAAAATGTGGCACCCACATCATTCTGGTGTCTACGGCAGTCATAAGGGCAAGTTCAAGCCTCATCCTTAGTCCTGAGATGTTGGGAAGGTTGCATCCTTCAGACTGATGAGCCACAGAGGGAGTGTGTGTGGTAGACAACGCTAGGTACCAAGTCTGAGGAAACCATCTCTACCTACAGTAGGCAGAAAGCCACTGAATTCCACAGACCCTGCTCACCTTTCCCAAGAGATGCCTGGAATTCAGGGAATGTACTAGAGAAAGTGAGAGTTCTTCTGAAATACATAAAGCTTGCTTCAAAAATGTCCCTTTTAAAAATGTCTGTGTGTCTATACGTCTTGTGTCTTTATAACAAAACACCCGAGACTGGGAGCAACTTGACAAAGAAAAAGGTTTGTTTGGCTCACAGTTCTGGAGGCTGGAGGGCCTGCGTCTGTTGGCGGCCTTCTTACTGAAAGACCTGAGATTCTCAGGACACCATAAAGCACGAGACAAAGAGCACACATTTGTGTCTTCCGGTGCCTCCCCCTTTCCTATAATCTACTCTAATTTGATCATGGGGCTCCCCAGGGACTCGTGAACTTCTCTGGTCCCTATAACCTCCAAAGACCACGCCTCTCCCCACCAGAGCGGGATGGAGGCGCTTCCACCCTCTCAACACTTACACTGGGGACTGAGCTGCAGCACGGGAAACCTCAGGGCGCGGGACCACGCCCCAACCACAGCAGTCTATTTTCTCTATAGTTCTATTTGAGCTATTTATTTAGTTCATTTAAATGGGGTCATATGGGCATGGCCTTTCAGGACTGGCTTCTTTCACGTGGCGTGATATTCAAGGTGTATCGAGGCAAGTGCCGGCAATTCACTCACTCATTTTTGCCGCGTTATACGTCAAGGCAGAGACCTATGACCTTTTGTTTATTAATTTACCAGTTGACGGGCATTTGCGTTGTTCACACTTTTTGGGTGCTAGGAGTAAAGCTGGTGTGAACAGCTGTGCTCAAGTTTTTGTATGGGTGTGGTCTCTTTTTATTTCCTTTGGGGATAAACCTAGAAGTGAATGGGTTATATGGCAACTCCAGGCCAAGTTTATTATATTAGACCTTGTTTTTCACATTGAGGATGACCATGGCATAGCAGGCAGGTGGAGGCCAGAGGACAGCTGTCGGGAGTAGGTTCTCTCCTTGTACCGTGGGATCTGGGATTCCGCTGGGCTTGCCAAGCTTGGACAGCAAGTGCTCTGCTTGCTGAACCTTCGCGCCAGCCCTAGGTCTAACTTTTTGAGGATTCCAGACTTGATATTCAAAGTAGCTGCACTAGTTTGCATTCCTTCCTGCATCTCACTGTGTCCGGGCTTCTCTGGAAACTTACAGGGCTGGTATCGTCTGTCTTTTTAGTAGTAGCCTGTGTGTGAGGTGGCGCCTCACTGTGACGGCAATCTGCATTTGTGTCTTTGTTGTCTATGTGCTTGTTCATGGGTGTGCTCGGAAGTGATATGCTTGGGTAGACGTCCCTTCCCAATCTTCAGCTGCATTGTCTCATTGTTTTGTTTTGTTTTAATATTTATTTATTATGCATACAATATTCTGTCTGTGTGTATCTCTGCAGGCCAGAAGAGGGCACCAGACCTCATTACAGATGGTTGTGAGCCACCATGTGGTTGCTGGGAATTGAACTCAGGACCTTTGGAAGAGCAGGCAGTGATCTTAACCACTGAGCCATCTCTCCAGCCCCCGCATTGTCTCATTGTTATAAGAGTTATTCTAATGTTCTAATTATGAGGCCCACGCCAGATGCACAGTTTGTAAATAATTCCTCTTACTCTGTAGGCTGTCTCTTTGTTTTCCTTATAGCATCCTTTGGCACAGACATATTTTAAGCTTTGATAAAAGTCCTATTTAATTTGAAAACAAAGAAAAGAAAACGGTTTGAAATGATTTATTTTGGGGAGTTGGAAAGCTTGGAACTGAAAAATAAGAGCCAGCTTGCTCCTTAAGGCTGGACAGCTTGACTTTAGGCTGTTATTTCTGCTCTAAAGTGGGCATGCGTGACATGCCCGTGCTGGCTCTGAGATGTCCCTTTTGCCTGCTTCTTTGTCCCACTGTGGGTGCCGGGAAATGCTTGATCAACAGTGTCAGTCAGAAACCTGGGATCATGGTGGCTAGCATTCTTGTTTAGTTAAAGTCCTAAGCTTTCGGGACTTCTCCAAACCCCTTCTCAGCCTTTCCCATTTCAAGCCATGGTTTGGAGCTATCGTGATGGTGAAAGGAGCGGCTTACCGAGGGAGTGAGCTTGAGTTCCGACCTCTCCCGATCTCCTTGTTCAAAGAACTCGCTGGTTACAAGTTCAGCCACCTGAAACACAGAAGCATTTTAAGATGTTTGTAGTGAGATGTTTAAGTGAGTGTAGTGAGTGGTGGCGCACGCCTTTAATCCCAGCACTCGGGAGGCAGAGGCAGGTGGATCTCTGTGAGTTCAAGACCAGCCTGGTCTACAGAGCTAGTTCTAGGACAGGCTCCAAAGCCACAGAGAAACCCTGTCTCAAAAAACCAAAAAAAAAAAAAAAAAAAAAAAAAAAAAAAGATGTTTGTAGTGTAAGACACCATGAGACTCGGAAGTGATTTCTGGCTTACCTGCATTGAGATGTTCTTATTTTGAAGAGCCTGGCTTTCGGGCTGTCTGAATCTGCACTGAAAGCACTAATTTACGGTAGGCCCCAATTGTTATTCTTCTTAACACCGCACCGCACTTCTTAACACTTGCACCGGCGCATAAGAACCACAGGCTAACTGACTGCACCTCTTCCGCTCCACTGTACCCATAATGCAATGCTCCATCCCCAACTGCAGGCACCTGCAACCCCGCCCCCGACATTCACCCGTGACATGGATGATCCAGAGACACATTTTAAAGGCGTCTGTGGTTCTCAGGATCACTGTAGAAAGAGAGCTGATAGAACAGACAAATGCCAATTGGGCATTTCTGAGGACATTAAGGTGTGCAGCTAGCGTCTGGAAGGACTCTGAGTGACATTTCTGGTGATTTTAAGGGCAGACTGTACTATTTACAGTCTCACAAATGATTTCTGACTTTCTTCTGTCTGGGCATAGACATGGATTGTAGCTTCTGGCAGAGTACTCTCACGTGAAGAGTCTGGACCGGTGGATTGCTGAAGGCCTTTCATTTCTACTGTCAGCTCAGTCCAGGATGAGAGCAGAGGCGCCCATCACGACGAGTGTGGCCCAACGAAGAATTGTAAACTCGCTTAGAACATGAGATTTTTGTTGTTGTTGTTGTTGTTGTAACTTTACTGCCTGGTTCTTGGCATGAGTTTTGCAAGCGACACTGTCGTGACGTAGTGCCAAAAGGTTAGACCTGTGTAAGCCATGCTGTTCAAAAGTGTGCAGGTGGTTCCAGGCTGAGGAGAGAAGCTTGGCCGTTTGTGAATGAGGGTGTGGCTCTAATCTGCTGGGATCTATTTTATGTGTTTTGGTTTGTAAGTTTTCTCCTCAGAAATCTGCGCCATCTCAGCTTTTCCCCACCGCTGTTAACCATACTCCAATTCCAGCCACGGCTTTTGCAGCCCCTCAGCCTTCTTCCTTCTGTCCCTGCGCTCCTGCCTCTGTTTCCTGGAGGTCTTACATCTTGTACATCTGTGTCTTGTTCACACTCCAGCCCCTTGTCTCTCCACTCCAAGAACAAGTTCTGAATTCAAACTCAAAGCTTACATGTAGTGTGAGCTTGTATGATCTTGGCTAGTCTTTTATTCAGATTTCCCAGGGTCAAGGTCACCAATGACTGTTTCCCCCGGAAGCAGTCCGTTGGTGAAGGACTTCTAGTCTGAATGGTTACTGTGTTAGTTCGAGGGCGGTGACTCTCAAGGACACAAAGAGGAGAAGAGCAAGTCTCTATTTTAGCAGCTGCTCTCTATAGAAGACCTTGGGCTGCTTAGCCCAAGTGAAGTGAATGGATTTCCTAAAACTCCAAAAACCTCACTTCAAACTCTGTGGCTAAGACAACAGGAATTTATTCTTGCATAGTTCTTGGGGCCAGTGGTTCACACCAGGGTGATGGGCAGAAGCCCAGGGGTTGGCGCTGTGTCCTTTTGAAAACTCTGTCTGATCCTTGCCTCTTTTTAGCATTTGGTAGATGTTAGCACTTCTTGGGGTGTAGACATGATCGTTTCAGCATTTGTTGGACTCTCGCGTTGCCTTCTCTTCTGAACCCTGAGCTTTCTCTGCTCTTTAACAAGGACATTTGTGATGGGAGTTGGGACCCATCTGGATGGTCCAGGTTCTTCTCCCTCAGCAGATCCTTACATCTACTCTTGCAAACAGAAAACTGTCCTTTTCTTCTCAGGGAATGGTTATAGGTTTCTGGGACCGTGACATGATATCTCTGTGCTGTGGTTACTCAGCCTTTGTACTAACTACCTACCATACATGAAATGAAACGTCACAGACAAACCAATCATTTATTATTATATGAATATACCTATCTCCCCCATAAAAGGTATCACACAAAACTTAGCGAGTTTGTTGTTGACTGGTCCTGCACTCAGGAGGCTGAGGCAGGAGCATTACTTGAGCCAAAGAATTTGAGAGCAGCCTCGAGAATATAGAGTTATCCTGCCTCAAGAAAAACAATACAATAAGATTAAGTTAAAGAGGGGGAGGAAACCTAAAGCGCTATTGACCCCTCTTAGTAAACAAGGATCTTGGTAGTCAAGCAGCCAGGGAGCTATTATTATATTATATTTAATTATATATTGAATATAATATATTATATTCAAAACTGTGATTGCACAAAAATAATGCAATGCTTGGGTGTTTGAGAAACTGTAAAATAACTATTAGTCTTGATAAAAAATTAAATGGGACGCAGCACGCACTGGCCATAGAGCCCTCTGATGCTTAACTAATACTTGAAAACAGAACAGAATTTTACTTTTCCTATTTTCTTTTTCATGAGTGATAAACAGGATCTTTTGCTAACACAAGATTACTTATTCAAAAACAGTATTTTTTTTTTTAATGAACCGTTTGCCCTCAGGATGGTCAAAGGGTTCTTCAGATTTAGCACGTTACAAAAATCTTGCAGCCAGAAATAGCATTGTTCAGTGGAAGCACAGGAAGAAAGATTGTGGGGTAAGACGGCCTTCCGACTTGGCCGGCTGTGGCTCCATGCCAGGCCGGCACCTAGGCAAAGACTGTTCTCTGTGCTCAGCCCTGCCCCCTTCAGTCTCTCCTCTGCTGAGCTCCTCCATTAATCACTTGCCTGTCTGGAGATCTCCCACGGTTTGGTCACGGCTCCAAGGTCACAGGCTGTCATTAACATTGATCTGAAAAACAGAACGGAACAGCCTGAACGCTCCTCTGCTGCATTCCTAAACAAACTCACCCTAGATCCATAAATAAATAACACGGAACCGGGGTCAGCCCAAGTCTTCCCTCCACAAGGGGCCACGTTGTTTAAAGTCGCTCGGTTGTGCCTCTCCCAGGCAGCCACCAAGACAAAGACCTCTCACAACCTCCCGGGTCGCCCAGAGAGCCCTCTGTCTGCACCTGAGGCAAGCAGGCAAGCAGGCAAGCAGGCTGTGGCTAAAATAATGTGCAGTGGGGGCTCCCTGCCTGCCCCCCAGCTTAGCCATAAGCAAGGCAATCAGTATATCACCCTGCGTGGCTGACTTAACACTGGCGACAAAGGAGAGAAATCCACACCACAGAGGAGAGATACTCGCTGTGTAGGGTGCTCTTTTAAGTTCACAGCTCCACAGAGCCAAGATTTCCCCGAGGGAGCCACACTGTGTCACTTGGGTTACTACCTGGCGGCCACCACTTTATTCACATTCTCAAAAACCAAACGAAGACACCAACAAACCAAACCATACCCAGCTAAGGCGTTCCTTAATCTTGCAAGCTAAAACACAGGCACAACAAACGTGAATCAGGTTTTCCAGGGGTGGATTTAACTAAGTTTCACACTGAACCGTGGAAACACTGGAGATAACTCAAATCATTGATAGTATTATCAGATGTGGCCGGTGGGCGAAAACTAGGGTGAAACTCCCGGCTCCCGTCTGCTGTTTTACAGCTAACAATAGGAGCGCCTGGTGGAGAGCAAACAGCACCGGCCTGAGCCCTGGGAGGTGCGCTGGCTGGCTGCTTTTGGAAGAAAGAATGTGTTGTGAAAGGTCAGAGGGCCGTCCTGCTGTCAGCTCGACTTTTAAACCCTGCTGGATCTCAACGTCTTGGAACACACGTCTGCTGCCCAGATGGTGGAGCAGGATTGGAGTGGGCAGGGTCCCAGCTAACAATGGGTCATTCACGGCGAGCCAGGCAGCGCCTTGGACCGGAGCACTATCCAAACACCCCTATGCTAAGCTTGTGCGAAGGGGGACAGCTTGGTCTGTTGTTGGGCTCTGATCCTCTGCAGCAGCATTTGGCAGCGCTGGCTTTCCCCTGCTTCTGTCCTAGGGCCTTTCCTAGCTAAAGGACTGACCGCTGGCTGACAAAACCTTCACCGTGGCCTCGGAGAGGGACCCTATTCTTATTTACAGACCAAAGCGCAGAGAGATTAAGTAACAGTCTCAAGGAGAATAAAGGGTTCAGGATGCTGCGTTTATTACAAAGCTACCAGACTGCTCCACACACTCTGAGGGTCTCATTTTAAGTTCTGTGAGTGCAGCCGGGAGCATGACCGTGGGTAACACCCCAGAGGTGTCTACTGCACAGGGAAGTGTCCCTGTGAAGCTGCCCACTCCGACAAATTGGGAGAATTACTTAGGGTCTGTTTAGCTGATCATCTGACTTTTCCAATGTACACAGAAAGCGTGGCTAAAATGTCCCATAATGCAAAGTGTACCCAAATGCGTGCTTTTTCTTACCGAAACACATCGCGGTGGCTTTTGATGCTCCAATCGTAGTCTCCTTTGCTGACAAGCTCAAAGAACTCAGTTCTCCTCCTGCAGGGAAATCAAATGAAAGAAGGGGAGAAACCCCTGGAATGAAATTTCTTAGTCTGTGGAGTGACATAAACACATTTGTGGGGAAAATATAAGACCACCTGAACTCAGTAACTCAATATTTGAAATCACGAGGCTAAAGAACTATCAAAATAAATCACTTAAAAATGTTGAGACATCAAGAGGAAGCTGCAATCATTCCTAAATGTACTTACAACAAAGGACAGTATAGATCCGTGAAACAGAACACAGTGCAGGCAGAGTGTTGTGAAGCCGCCGCGACACTGGAGGTCAGAGGAGGCAGGCAAGGACAGACAAAAAGCAGGCGACTTCAGAGGGTTCTCTCATCACCCCACACGGGACACTCAAGACAAGATAAACTCCCTGGCAGTAAATTCAAGATGAAGATTTGTTTTCCAGCTCAAAAGAATAACAATTTCGCCACCTCGGTGTTTAAGCTCATAGGGTAGAGGGTCAAGCAGTAGCCATGTCTAAACTGTAGCTCATTTGTCTACTTGCTGTACTTGCCTGCAGGGAGTTACTAAAGCCTTTGGAGCCTCCATTTCCCCAGGAACAATTTGGGTATTTCATTTGCTAACTCACAGACTTACTGGAGGGATTAAATGAGACGGCTGGTGTGTATAAGCAAGTAGCACAGTGCACAAGTGTTTTACACACACCCAGACACCCACACATACCATGCCTATGCCTATACATCTCCCGATGTATGGGAAGGACAAAGGAGGTATATCTTAAAGTTATGAATATAGGGAAATTCATTCCCTTTTATTCTTTATTGTTTGAGAATTTTGTACAACCATATAATGTGATTTGAGAAAAATTCATCCCCAGCTCCCTTCAATTCTTCCTCTAGCCTTCCCACTACCTTTCAAATCCTCTTTCAAACAGTTAATGAAAATTTGCTGCCTAGCCTGGCAAACAGAGTTGGAACCCCCAAGCCTACACGGCGGAAGGAGAAAACTGACTCTTGCAAGTTGTCCTCTGACCTTCATGGCATGCCACGCCGTCTGTTCCCTCCACGCCCACTTAAGTATGTAACTGCCAGCAGTCCCAGGTCTCCCATGTGCAACTGAGTAGCATCACCTGAACAAATTCTCCAATGACAAAACATTTACTAGTTAGAGCTTCAAGTGAGAAAGTCTTAGAATCACTGAAACCAAACTCAGTCATGGGATTAAAATGAGACGAACCCACAAAACTATATACTACCCTTGGACCAGACTTCTTTGTCACGGGGGAGCTACGTCGTTTCTTCTCAGGCAGATCGTTGGGAACCTTGGCTCTCAGGGGTGATGCCAAGCGCCCTAGCTAGTGAAAAGCAACTTACTGGAAAATCTCATTTATAATCAGGTATGCTTTTATTAGGCTTTTATTCTGCTCTACTGACATATGTGCCACTCAGAAAAATAGCAGTCTTCAAAAAAAAAAAAAGGGGGGGCATCATTCAAACAGAACTACTAAAATCATTCTCAAAAATAATCCCAGAGATTGCCCATCCGGCATCCGTCACTGTGCTGAGAGCCTTCCTGACTTGTGAATAGCCTCAAGGCATTTACAAAATGAGACATCATCATCATTTCTGTGTACATTTTATCAGGATTTTTATAAATTTATATGTTTACAAAATATAGAATGTGCACGTGTATAATATCATGTACAAACATTGTATTTAGGTAATGCCTTTGAATCTTCAGGAAGTCCATGGAGGTGAGGCAGTTCTGTTGCTTCAGTGACAGGCAAAATTAGGTCTTCCCTACAATGCCAGCTCCAGAGTCACCAGGTTGGGTCTTGAAAGTGGCATGAGTGGGCGGGCAGCAGGACGGCACCTGTCCTTACAGTGTTCTCCCAGGAAACCATATGTCTACAGTTCATTTCAACCGCAGACCCCTGGACTGGTGTGATGGTTCGGTGGTTAAGAGTACTTGCCGCTCAATCAGATGGCATCACCCACATAACAAGCTGGGTGTCCCACAGATGCCCGTGACTCCAAGAGATAAGGCATCCTCTAATGGCCTCCATCTAAACACACATCAGCTGCACACACGTTTGCTTACACACACACTGTCTACACACACCACGCACATATCAATTGGTCAATTAACCAATCAACCATTACATTTTAAATAAAATTAATCTCTTAAAATGTGGATCCTGAAAAGATTTCTGGACTTTGGCAAAACACCTTGGAAACGGGACTAGAAAAGCAAAAGGTAGGTGACAATTTCAGTGGTTATAACCAAAGGAAAAGTTTTCTTATTTTATTGTTTTCCTTTTGAGTCAGGAGTCTCAATACACAGTCCACACTGGCCTCAGACCTGAGATTGCCCTGCCCTAGCCTTCTGAGGTCACAGGTGTGCACCACCGCACCTCGAGTATGTTTAATTTTTAAGTGAATTTTCTCTTCGGTTTAAACTAGCATTGGGCCCTGTAAGATCCCAGATGACATCACATGTTTGATACTGCAGAGTTGTCAATACTATGAGTAAATCGGCATACCACAGCAAGTCAGAGGGCTGTAATTACTCTAAATGTTGAAAAGTCAGAAGATGAGATAACACAAGAACCCAGCAGTTCAACCAAATCACAATCACAAGACAAAGAAATGCAACCGTGTAGCTTGCTGCAGTCACTGCATGGGGATCTGGATCCCTGAGGGTAAGAGCCACACTTTTCCTGCTTACATATTCTCAGTGAGTAGCACAACGCCTGGCATAAAGACAGCAGGGGACTTCCCAGTTTTTATCCCATCATCCTATCGTTGGAAGGGGGATAAGTCTGTGAGCTGTCTAATGGCAGTTTGAAATATATCAGGAACTCCAAAAATCTTTGCCTGTCCATCTATCGCAGGCCTTCTGCCCTGATATTGGAAGTGTTTTCGTGGAATAACTCCTCAGGCTCTGCCAAAATACAAGAATGTTTGAGAGACAGCGGTGGGTTAAGCGCCACTGGTCACTAACATCTTATTGTTCATCAGTTTCTTCTTTCCTGTCCTGTGGCTGGCTGAATACAGGCAACTGTGGGAGTTGAAGGAACAGACACAGTGGGGTCTTAATAAACACTTGCTGTATGATTAATGAGTGAATATTTCTGTCTGAGTAGCAGTAGCAATATTTGTTGAAATCCTACCGTATATTTTAATAATAATCTTGATATTACTGCAATTTTTCAAAGGAAGGTTAAACTATTCTTCTAAACAATCCAGAATCATTCAGTCTATACGACTGTCACCGGATGCTTTTGAGACAAGCTCCTAACCGCCTCCTTTTGTAAGGACAATGGCACAGAAACCATCCGCTTGGACAGTTCCCATACTTGCTGACGAAGGGTGTTGTTGGTAGGACACAAGAGGAGGTGGTCATTTTCAGACCAAAGAGTCATCTGATTAATTTATAGGACCAATCTAAAAAGGCACTGGGCACCTGAGTGGCTGCATACAATCTGAAATGTTTAGTAATTTCCAGTTTAAATAATAGTCTGAGGCAATTGTTTAACTATTTGTCACGGAGATCTGTCAGAGCCTACGTGAGGAGCTCTAGGTAATTGTTCTCTGTAAGCCTAGGCACCCCTGTCGGGCGAGACTGGGTGCATTTAGGGTGGCATGGGCACAGAAAGTCTGTCAGATGGAGAGAAGACTCTCTGCCTATAGCTTAATATGGGAAACCAAAGTCAAAATGTTGATATTTGGGAAACTCATTATGCCGGGCGGTCTGTCGAGTTTAAGGGCTCCAAGAGTTAGCTACAGAGAAAGGTGCACAATTTCCACGGTGACAGAAGGTGCTGTATGGCCTGCTGAGGGAGGGAAGTCATCAGCTCTGTGAGCTACAATAACGACCAACCTGGCCAAGTGCGCCCACTGACGCCAGAGTGGCACGGATGTTATGGGATTAGCCAGTGACCCTTTGTTTGGATTTAAGGCCTGCTGCACAGCAGGAAGCTCACGCCGGGTAGTGTGAACTCGGCCCAGGACCTAAGGCTCCTCTAGAACATTAGACCTACTACTATTATTTTGCTAACTGGACATAGAGTCGCTCTGGGTGGTAGAGCAGTATCGGGCGACACCTGTGTTTGAAACCTAAGCACATGTAGGCCGGAGCTACTACTGTCGCTGGAGCCTACGTGTTCCAAGGACTGGGCCGTAGTTTTCCTTCATTACTCTTAAACTACGAATCAAATAACGACAGAGAATGGCAGGAGGATTAAATCAGTCTGGAATCCAACTTCTTGTCCAATTTACTGACGCTCTCCGGTCCTCAGCTTCCCCATGCCTACCTACTACGACGTTAACAAGATTATCTGTATCTAATGGGCTCAGGAAGTAAAGGCAGCTGAGGCCACACCTGATCATCTGAGTCTGATTTCTCAGACCCACAGCGTGGAAGGAGAGAACGGACCACACCAAGTTGTTCTCTGCCCTCCTTGCAGGCACCGTAGCACACCCACACTCGCGTGCACACACAGACACACACAGATGCACCTGTGCTCACACACATACACACTCAGACAGACACACACACGAAATAAAAATGTAACAACACACTTTATCTTTCAGAAGACTACCTGTCTCCTCCGACTGCTTCTAGAGTCAAACAGGTCATGTGTGTGCCTAGCTGCTCTGTGAGAACTGGGGACGTATCACTGCTGTTTCCATCACTAGTTGCTGGAGAGGCAATGGCTCCTCTTTGCTGGCTGGAAACAGCACAGAGACCGCGGGGCATCAGTACCATCTCTGGAGTTTTAACATTTGCGACTGCAGCTCTCTCCCTCTCTCTGCCCGGGCCAGTGTCATCTTTTACGGCGCGTGTTTTATGAAGTTTCTGGCTGAATGATTTCTTTTTTATAAAGTGTGTTAAATTACCAGAGCTCTTTCCTATAGGTAATCTCTGTTGGCTGTCACACTGGGCCCCTGGCAAATGGGCCTGGGTAAAACGCCCCAACTCCTATTTCTGACGAGAAAACCAAGGCGGAGAAAGGTTAAAGTGACACGAGGCTGGCTCCTGACACAGATCTAATTTCTGCTTGTGCTGGCGAAAAGCCTATTTAATTAGAGAAGTATTATTTGACAGAGGACTCAGAACCAGGCACAGGAAGTTAATTACCGAAACACCGATCAGCAAGAGCCGAGTTTTCGTGAGTTGAAAAGTCAGACTGAATAATTAACCCATCAGTAGGGTGAGAAGCTAGCTGTCCACAGCAAGGCTTTCACCTGTTTGTTCTTGTACCGTAGTCCCACGGGTCCTTTCCTGTGCTGCTTGTGGCATTCAGGCACGAGGATACCCAAAGCCGTTGGAAATGAAATCATGAATCTTGTGGTTGCTTGGGTGTCTATACAATTCTATGTATCTCTTGTGTTTCCCTTTCTGGATCATGACAGGGATTCTTGCTCCTAAGGATGAGCTGCGAAGCCTTCTCCAAAGGTGGAATCTACTCCCTGTCCATTTGACCATTTCTGGAGTGGCTTCCTTTATAGTTTGATCAATCCTGCCATAGCTTTTTTTTTTTTTAATTTTTACTTTATTTTTCTATGTAGCCCAGCTGGCTTCAAGTTCACTTTACTCCAGCCTTCTAAGTGCTGGGATCATGGGCCTGGGACACCACACCAGTGTCAACCATGTCTGATTCGAGCAGTCAGGGCAGAAGAACAAATGGTAACTAGACCTCTAGAATCAGTCTGAGGGGACCCCTTGTATCCTCTTGGCCCTACCATTCTCTAGCTGTTGCTAGGGCAACCAATACTATAACTTCTGTCATTGCTGCCCTGTACAGAGCTTCCTATGTCCTGGCATGCGTGGACTCCTCTTGTGTGGAACTGAAGGCAGTTGTGGGAATTTCCAGGCCCCGAGGATGTACAGCTTGGAAATGCACAGGAGTTTTTGAGGTTTGGGGCAAATTGAGGCTCATGAGGATGGAGGCTGGAGGCCAATTTGGAGATACAACCTATGAGATGTTTCAGGTGATCCCTTTAGGTTCCAGCCCGGCTGACGGTTGTCATGGCCAGCAAGGAATACAGCCTCACAGGAGCTTCCTGGACCCAGCTCTTCACCCCACTCTCATCTTTGGTGTTGTTTTCAAAATTAAACTAAATGAATGCAGGCCTTTGCCTCCAACAGCATTTTGGGAAGGAGCTTAGGGGGGCCAAGTCAGTTAATCGGTTGAGGTAACTGACATTCCCTAAGTTGGGTTGATGTTGCTGTAGAATGTGCTACAGTTCAGATGGAACTCTTGACTCATCTGTTAGAGAGAGGATGTGGTGGCTGTGGGAAACACCCTGAAACAGGGAGTATGGGCTCAGATTTTGCCAATAATTGCTTTTGTGACCCAAGCAATACCGTTCAACCAAGAGTGCCTGATCTGCAAAAGAGAGGGGACGAAGTGGCTGGTGGCATTCCCCACACGCCTTCCAGTTCTCTGACTGGTGAAATACAAGCACCTGGATAGCGGTGTATATAGTAAGCTCTTTCTTCCTCATTAACCCGAGGGATCTTTGGCCGGGAAATACAGCCACACTTTAACCCAACTTCAGACCAGCGTGCGGATCAGTCCTCTGGAGCTCTAGATTAGAGAATGAGCTATTCAGAACCCCACAAACAATCATGCTGGCGGAGGAGCAAGGCACTTCTGTGGGAGTCAGCGAGCATTAGCCGGGGCTGCAGCGTCAAGATAAGAGCAGAGTAATGAGCAGAGGACTCACAACCAACTTCCCTGTCGGCGTTCCCGCGGCACTCAGTGATTCCTCACATCCCGGGCACAGCTTGATAAATGGACACCAAGAGCTGAAGGTGGCTTCCCCCTCTTTGTCCCTTTAAGAGTTACTTGGAAACTTGGTTTAGAAAATGCTTCTATTTTGAAAAAAATTAACACAAGATCTTGCAAGTGCCAGACAGGAAAAAATAAAACAAAAAACTACAAAAAAACAAACCTCCAAACCAAAAAACCTTGTGCCATGGATTTCTCATAAATCCTAATCCAGGACTATCAGTCTAGAAAAAGACGGGAGGCCATGATAGTGAGGTATCCTGAGGGCCATGGAACATGTGGGATAAGTAGATTGTAAAGCAATGAGGCCGTCGTCACCACTCATAAGATGTTTAATATATGCACGGTACGTTATTGCCATTCTAAACACGAAGGAAGGCATCTCAGAGGGAAGTATCATGTTTGATGACACATAGCTAGCTAGCAACAGAGCCTGGGGCTTCTAAAATATACATTTTTTTTAACAATATCAGTATTTGTTGGGCTGGGGAGATAATAAAGTACGCATCACACAAACATGGGAACCTGAGTTCAGGTCCCAGGCCCCATGTTATGAAGCTAGGTGTGGTGAGGCTCACCTGCAGTCCTGAAGCTAAAGAGAGAGGGGCTCCTGGGGCTTGCCAGCCTGCCAGTCTAGCTTACTTGGTAAGTTCAAGCCAATCAGAAACCCTGTCTCAAATAACAAGGTGGACAGCACAGTATATAGGATTCTTTAAATTTTCTTTTACATTTATTGTGTGTGTGTGTGTGTGTGTGTGTGTGCATACATTTGCCATGGTACATGTGTGGAGGTCGGAGGACAACCTGAAGAAGTTGTTCTCTCTTTTAGCATGCGGATTCTGGAGATCAAATCCAGGTAGCCAGTTAGAGCAGCCACTATTTTCTTGGTGTGGGGTGTCCTTCTGTATATATGTTGCTTTTATTGGTTGACGAATAAAGCTGTTTGGGCCAATGGATTAGCAGAGTAAAGCCAGTTGGGAAATCCGAACAGATATATATATATATGGAGAGAGAGAGAGAGAGAGAGAGAGAGAGAGAGAGAGAGGGAGGGCGGAGTCTGGGAGACAGCATGTAGCTTCGGAAGGAGAAGGACCTTTCCTGTAAGCCACAGTCTCCTGGTCATTCACAGATTAATAGAAATATGCCTGAGTCATTGGTCGAACAGTGCTGTGACTAATATAACTTCTGTGTGATTATTCAGGTCTGGGAGGGCGGGAAGGAAACTGGGAAATGAACGAGCAGTTTCCCCTACATTTTCTACCTGCCGACCATCTCACGGGTCCTTTATGTGTGTGTGTGTGTTTAACCCATTAAATTTTGGAAATAACTTAGATGGGATTTTTTTTTAAGTCAAAAACTCAAATTTAACCAGACTTTCTTTTATTTAGTGAACCATCCTCCCTCCCTTCCTCCTTCCCTTCCTCCTTCCCTCCCTCTCTCCCTCCCTCTCTTTCCCTCCCCCCCTCTCTCTCCCTAATTAGTCTTTTAATTCCTGACTGGGACACACAAACAGTTAACCGAAGATCAGAGAGGCTTTATTACCTCTGATGAAAAACAGACACCGAAACGGAAAAGAAAAAGAAAAAGCACCTTAGAGAAAACCCAGTTGTTCATCCATTAAACAACAATAGGCTGCTTTAAGGAATGGCAGGAGGAGGCATGACGAAGAAAGCACTTGAAAATGGAAGCGTGATGGTTACGAGAAAAAACGAAAGCTTTGGGAAGATCAGCCAAAAGACTAAGGGCAACAAGGCGCACCTTTCTCGCAGGCCTTTTGGAGCTCTTGGATTTGCTAAGCACACACCTGTTCTCCATCTCACAAATACAGAGGTTTACATAAAGGTCAGGTAAGGTCAAGGCAGACGGGTGCTACAGAGGAGAGCTGAAAGATAACAATGCAAGGGAAGAGTGGGGTCGGAGAAATGGCTCAGTGGTTAAGACTGTGTTGTCCATGTAGAAGACCAGAGTTAGGTTTCCAGCACCTATATCTAGTGTCCCACAGCTGCCTGTAACTCCAGGTCCGGAGAATTTGACATCTGCTTCTGGTCTCCAGGGGCACAACACTTATTTTCATGAACCCCCATATATACATATAATTAAATAATAAACATTTAAAAAAAAAAGAATGGAAAATAGAGAGGGGGCAATGAGGAAGGATTTTGCCTGTCAAGCTAAGTTTAAGGTTTCCTTAATGGCTGGAAGGCAGGGATAAGTGTCCACAATGCTGGGAGTTAGAATGAAGCATTTCAGACCCCCTCCCTGCAGCTAACCTGCATCAGGGTAATACAGACGAGAGGTCAGGAAGACAATCTCAGTAGAGAGAACAGAGCATGAGTTACAGAACTCAAAGAGGGAAGGACTGGAAATTTACAGCGGATCTGGAAAAGGAGAAATACACCTGGGTGTTGGGGAAGCGAAGAATAGGAACTGGCATGAGGCATTGGTAAGCCTTTCATGTCAGGAAAGCTAGAAAAGACCACAGCCTTTGGTGACCACTGACAGAACAAGGGACAGACTGCTGTTCAAAGTACAAACCAGGGAGAAGGGCAAGGAACACAGGTTTAAGTGTCTAGTCACGCTTCCATCCGTGAACATAGTTCATCGTCACAGTCAGCACCATTACAGAAACAAATAATATTGGAAATAGCTGTCGTAGGCAGCATAGGAAATATCCCGGGTAGCACTTGGCTTCAGAGTCATGAGATCCAAAGAAGGCTCATCAGCATAAAGAAGACTTCAGACTGGTCACTAGCATCCTGAATTATTTTTAGAGTGCAGAAACTGTCCCAGTGAGCTGAGTTTAGCTAAGGGAAGGACAGATAGCAAAGCTGGAATAATTTAATGCAACATTCAGTATGGACCCAGACGTTAATTAAAGGTGGAGTGTTAGTACCCATCTGTCAAATAGACCAAGTTCCAATACCTACTCAAAGTACAGCGTGAGGTCGGTGGCTAGTATCGACTGCTTCAGAAGCTGCATGAGGTCACTGTATTCCTTGGAGGACAAATTAGCAAAGATGTTGTGACCCTGCAATGAGAAGTCAGAAAGTCACAAACACACGATTCCACCTGGAGCTGATGACTGCAGGTTTTACCTATGTTCTAAAGATGATCAGAACGTGAACAAAATTTAAGTTTGGTAAAGGTTTTTGAATATATATATTCATTTTCATTTCTATCTTTGTGTTAGATGGATATAGAAGTACAGAGTGGAGTGGGGAAGTGAGCTAAATGCTTGGGAATCTCTCTGATCCCCAAAGAAATGCTGCATCTACTAGGAAAGATTTAGCTAGAAACTCTTTTTTTTTTTTCAAGCTGACCCGTGTCTCCACAGGCAGAATTTTATTGAGGACTTATTTGTTAGGCTTGAATGATTTTTTTTAATTTATTTATTTATTAAAGATTTCTGTCTCTTCCCCACCGCCCCCTCCCCTTTTCCTCCCCCTCCCCCAATTAAGTCCCCCTCCCTCGNCCCCCTCCCCTTTTCCTCCCCCTCCCCCAATTAAGTCCCCCTCCCTCGTCAGCCCAAAGAGCAATCAGGGTTCCCTGCCCTGTGGGAAGTCCAAGGGCCACCCACCTCCATCCAGGTCTTAGCTAGAAACTCTTGCTATGGTGACAAGTGACTTTGAGAAAGAGCAAAAGCCATTAGACTACGGTGTCTCAATGGGGAAGGTTTAGACAATGGAAGCGTTGGGAGCAAATAGAGACATTTTGGACAGTCATGACTGCCTGAGACACTACTAACTTTTAATACCTTTACTAGGAGAGGCTAGGACGTAGGTAAACAACCTTCAGTAACCAGGGGATGCCACTCAAAGACCTAGCTCTCTGCTGAAGTGAGGAACCCCGCACGGAGCTGTCAGGCTGCTTTGATAACGCATGTGCTGGGTTAAGTTCTGAACAACTAGAATGGAGAAGCCATTATCTGGGTGCAAGGGGCTCTAACGATGACTTCTACCAAACAAAAACTGCAATACAACTTCACCTCCATGCTACCAGAGAGCATTCTTGTTCCTTCTAGAAGACTCACTCGGCAGCCCCAGGGCTTGCTGCTAGCAAGGCGGGAAACCCTTCAGCAGTGCGACCGTCATTTACTCCGCGCGTGCCGAGTCAGGGTTTCTTTTTGTCGGTTTTTCTTAGCATGAACTATGAACTAATAAGCATGGGACCCGGGAACTAGATCACTTTGAACCTAGAACTGAGAGCCAAAGGTTGGTGGGGAAGGAAAGGGGCAAGCGACTTCTCAAGAAGAAACTATTTTCCATGAGAGGTAAATTAATTTATCCAGGGGACCAGAATATCAATTAGCAATTTCATCTGAATCAAGCGTCAGGTAATAATCTGCTTCGCTGAGCTGATTTATTTCTTCAGGCTAGCCCTCCCCTCCTGACTACAGGGTGTTGGCTCCACCTGGGACCAAGTCCAATATTAATAGTCAATTTAAATGAACTCTTCTAGGCCTTTAACTCAGTGATCAGAAGGACAAAGAATTCGAGGAAGGCTGGACCAGGATTTTGTACAGGCATCCCCTCATGGGACAGTTACAAGCAAACATTCTGGAGCCTGGGAAAAAGTAGTTTACAATGTTTGGAAAAATAGTCACTTGGATTCAGCACCTTCACTTGGGAAAAGCAAGGCAGCCTTCAGAGCAAGGCTGAGTTTCTACTTGCCTTCAGACAAGGGCACTCACCTGAATTTGTGCTGGTTTTCTGTGAACTCGCCTTTTACTGCTTTTAAGGGTAAATAGTGCTGTTCTTGGGGAATACAAAGCCAGCCAAATCAGCTTTCACTTATAAAAGTGAGTTTGCCCCAGGGCATCATTGAATATGCAAATTAACCTTGATGAGCACCTCAGGGTTTGACCATTAAAAGGAAATGAGTCTCTCACAAATACTGTGAGAGACTAGGTTTTAGGGAAACAGCAAGAACTGCAGGATGGGAAATCCAGGGGTAGAGAAAGAAAGGCTTGAGGCTAGCTTCTTCAAGACCTCTAAGCTCTGCATGTCTGTGTAAATCGGAACATGGGATAGGCATGACATGCCTTCCTGGTGGCAGAATGGAGTGGACGTGGGGCCTGAGACTCATTGTCCACTTCTGTGTTCACTGGTCATTGTCACTGGGAAGAGACTGGAGTAGAGGCTGACCAATGTGTCCCGGTGAGAAGACCTGGACCTAAGGGTGCTAGGCTGTTTATGATCCCCATGACTACGGAGGTGGCTCTCTGGAGTCAGAGGTAGGGACTCATCACATGTTCCACCAGGGAAAAGACAAGCTAAACAAAAGCACCTGCCACCCCTGCCTCCTCCCGGCTCTCAGCTCACATGTGGCTTTCATATTCCAGAGCCACAGACGGCAGGAAGTTGGCTCCACCGGTTCCCAAGGCCCTTACTTAGGAGCTTTATCCTAAATGAAAACACAGCGCCTCTGGCAGGCTGCCCTGCCTGAGCCCACATTCAGGCTCTGGAGTGGTGGGTCTCTGTTATGAGGCTGAAGGCTTTGGTGATATTACAAAAGACAGGTTTCCTCAAGATAGTATAGAGGAGAAAAAAAAAACTCTCCGTATTTAATGATGCCATTCCAGTGAAACAGGGCTTTAATGACGATAATAATAATAATTAATGGCATAGCCAGAGAGCTGAAAAATAACAGGGGACAGACAATCCCTTCCTGGCCAAAAAAAAAAAAAAAAAAAAAAGGTTTGTATGCCTTCATAACATTAAACAGATTTTTCCTGGCAAGTTAAAAACTCAGCTGCTGCAGCCAGAGTCAGTCAGTGGTTTCTGTTTTTCTCTGCAGAGAGAGATAAGTCGACACTCCATATGGCTTTAGCCCCGGCCTTGGGGTTAGTAGCCACCTCTCGCTTTCAAATGCAGTCCTACCAAAAAATTCAGTTCTTTTGCCTTTTATAAGCATCTCAGTGTCACTATCAAAGCTTGGCTCTTCCTGTTCTACCATCTCTTTGCATGGTGTTGGGTTCCACAGAATGGAAAGTTGGATCACTCTGTCATAAACCAAGACTGCATCCTTCAAGAAAGACAAGATGATGATGCTCTGGCAATAGACAACCTCCACCTGGTACCCCGTAAGTGATCCTGCACCTGCAAAACCTGCAAAACCTCCGGCAGAGCCAAGTGAGGCTGCTGGGGAAGACCTGGAACAAGGTCTTTGGCATGGGATAGGTCCACGCAAGGCACCGGGGTCTGAGTTTAATGTAAACATGGGGTCCCACTTCTCTGCACTGGAGCACATCAGGGAGTGCGGACCATGCAGTTGGCCTTCTGTCAAGGATAGAAGTGGAGCAGGCCTCACCTCACTCTGAAGGATCATCACAGCGTGGTTAAAATGGTGATGCTCTAAGGTGGCCGATGTCCCGTAGAGCTGGGCCAGCGCGGAGTCACTCCTGAAAGAGAGAAGACCCAGTAGGCAGGACCCCTCATCTTAACTGCTTTTGGTGGCAGACCGTGAGCAAATGCTTTCTCCGTAATTGCTGTGGACTTCCTTTGTCCCTTAAGCAAACTTTTCAATGTGTTAGGCTGGATGCCATAGATGATAGATAAATAGTTAGCAGGCCGCAGTCCTTGTCTTTAAGCAGTTTACAGACTGGCGAGGGACAAGATGTGATTCTGAGAAAAAGTAAAACAGGCAGCGGCAGTACAGATACGAAGGGCTATGTGTATATATGTATGTGTGTATAACTTTTTGCCTCTGATCTGTGTAGGCTTCATGAACTAAACCTTATAGATCTAAATATACACAGGAACTTTCTCCTATCAGACATGCCTGACTCTCCACAAGAAGACTTGGAGAATATTCCACAGTCTTCGTTATCTACTCTGCATGTGTTTTAACAACCTTCTGTTAGTATCAATTCTCCCCCAAGGTCCACCATCACATCTTAGCGGAGAAGACCAGAGAGCTCCTTGGATCTGAAGTCCCAGCTCTTCCTTCTGTACCTAGCTTTAGGCTATTACTTGACTTTAAGGCTCAGTTTCTTTGTCTCTTAAATCATGCCAGCACTGTCCACATCTTCTGTTGTTTGTGAGGGGACAATGGAATGCTTGAAGATGCCTGTCATAGTGCCAGATAGGGAGCAGATAGGAGTCTATATTAACTATTAATAGATAATTAAAACGCACATGGACATTTCCATTTTAAATGAACACAGTGTTCACTGATACCTGGGGTGGGGGTTCCTTTGAGTTATCTGTAAATTTCACGTTTGTAGGACAGTTCACCCCTCAACAAGGCCAGTCAGGTGAGACATTTAAAGGGTTCCAACAGTTCACCTCAGCTGTTTCTTCAGAGTTGGGGTTTGGGCATGTTAGGGGCCAAGAGAGACCCAAGGAATCAAACAGCTGTTCTAGGACTCTGCTGAGGACCCATCCAGGTCCCCGTGTTCTTTGCTGGCTTGCTGCAGGGAGTGCCTGAGGAGAGTTTGGCTTTAACTTGCAAATGACAGAGATTGCCGTCTTGGAGCTGATCCTGCCAGTGCCAGAATGCAAGGCTGCACCCGTACACAAGAAGGATTTCCATCCCAGGCTGCCTGGCTCCTGACAGCCTGAGATCCCCCTGTCAGTTCCAGGGTGCAGAGGACCCGTGATCCTCGGGGAGGCTCAGCGTTACTGCATCCTGAGTAGCAGGAAGGTTAGGTGAAAGAGAACTTGTGATGAAGAGGATGATGATGGAGGGAACTAGATTTTAGCCGGGTATGTGTTATCTCCTTAAGTCCTGCCTAAGTCTGCTACATCATCTAGTGAGTGGGCAGAGGTCAGGCTAATCTCACCGATGGGTTAACATTTAAGGTCAGCCGTCCTTTGTCATTACACAGAAGGCGTTTCCATGGCAAAAACACATAGCGTGGCTTGGACTTGGATGCTGAGCTTCTGTGTGCCTGACATGGAGTAGGTGCTTAAAAGTAACTCGTTTGTGGTGCTGTGTGGAGAGGGTATGGCTGAACTAGGAGGCTGACGGTAATATCTGTGTCAGCATATTTTATAACATATGTAATTTATACGTGTATTTATTTATATTTTATATGTAACATATTATATTTATTTTAAATATTTGTCATATATTTGAAAATATATGTGTAATATATTTTATAATGATTACATTACTGCTAATAACAGCCACCTTCCGTGACTGCCTACCACGCACTGAGAGTCACTGCCCCTTGATGTATAACCCCACCAAGTTGTGGTAACAACTACAAAAGAGGTATTATTTTTCTCACTTTAAATCAAAAGAAACGAGGCTCAGAGAAGCTCCCAGGTTTTCTAAGGTCACAGAGCCAGGTAGCATCAGGCCTGAGTTTGAATCTCAGTTTGTAAGCTGCTCACTGCAGTGGGAGAATGAAACGCCTAACCCACACTTCTGATACTTGATCCTCTATTCTGACAAGGCTGTTGGCTGCCGATGGAAGGAGCTTCCAAAACACAATTTAGAAGTCCGCTAGCCTAGCAGTTAACCCCAGGCTCCCAGCCCCTCCTTCATCCCTGTAAACCGACTTGTTCCTGGACTCTTCACTCATGGGTATGAGTCCTGGGGACAGAGTGGCTGGGAAGAGGAGGGATGTCTAAGCTCTCTTTATCCTGTTGGTTTTCACTGCATAAGAGGTGAGCTATAGAGGCTTACAAGTCACTTAGTGTTTCCTTCATTCAGGATGGATAAGATGCTAGTGCCTTCCTCCGGCAGAGGACGCCGTAGGAGACGCACTGAAGCTTGCTCTCCTCTGCCCTTCCTCCCCTGCTCACTGGGCTTCAGAACTGCTGGCCTCCAGCAGGGTGGTCAGGGTCTTATTATTAGATTCTCTATTTGTGCCTTTCTGTAATCCCATCTTACATTCATTCGATACAGAAAACATGTAAATTTTGAAATTGAACCATACTAATGTGGCTTCAGTGCAGGAAGATGCTGAAATTCATTCATTCATTTATGAGTATGAAAATGTATCACTAATGTAGACAACAAGCACCGATGAGTGTTATCTTGTCAGGCCCCGGGAACATGAAATACAAGCGTGTAATCTGTGGAGCCTGCCTTCAGGAAGCACACACACTCTACCAGATTTCTGTAGAATGCTTTCTCTGTCCAGTCCTGAACCAGAATACTCAGCTTCTCCTTGTAGGTAAGGAGCCATCTTAGTGTGCATCCAGAGAATGGAGCCAGTACTAACCTCAGGAAAGTCACTGAAGAAATACTGTTCCACAAGGACCCCTGACTTGTACTATTGTGTGTGGTTCTTACCAGTACTTCTAAGACTTCCAAACCTCATGGTGCCTTTCTTTTCCTGGCCAAGGCGCACCAGGAATTCTGCCTTCCGTGTTCTTATGTCTCACATACTGTGGCTGTTCTAGGAACATCCTGACCAAACGCCACTTTACACAAAACAGAAAATAAATATAGTGGCAGAAGATAAACCCATCTGTCGGGATAAACTTTGCCAAGAAACATTCTATAGACTATTACTAACTTGAAATGCCAAAAGATGTGACAAGCCGAAGTAAAAAGGATTCCAATGTCAGATAACTCAGAGAAAGGCCGGCTTTCAAAGCTCAAACTTTTTATGGTAGGCATTGGTATGTAGACACAAGCACTAAAGTTCTACAGGGAGGGGCACGATATGTACCTTGTGCACCCTTAACTGCTCATAAAGCCATTTCTAAAGAGCTCATGCCTTCCATGTAAAACACTGTATGGATACATACTCCTGCTTTTTAAATGAAGAAACCTTCCATCAGTCATATAAGACTGACTTTAATGCTGCGTCTCATTTTGATTGTCTATGGTAAATATACACGTCACGACTGGCTTTGGGCCCATACCCAGTAGCTGCAGAAATATGATCATGTATATTTATATGCGTACGTGTGCCTATGCAGAGTGCTTGGGAAGCGGGGGGAGGAAACATGGTAACTCATAAATGTGAAAATTCCTGATGTGCGTTATGGCTTCGATCCAAATACTGATGCCTTTGACTTTTAGACTCTCGCTACACAGAACAGAAATCTACGGAACTGTAAAAGGGGCAGTTCTGTTGCAGACATTCATTGCTTCGTGCAGACACCCAAAGTCCGTGCACACCAAAGTGCGCCCTTCCCACAGCCTGGATATGCATATTCTCTGAGAAAAAGAGCTAGCAGCGGCCTGCAGCCGGGGCTTCGAGGAAACTTTAAACAGGCAAACTATGAAAGGTAATTAGGAAGCTGGGAATTGCTGGGAGGTGGTGAGGAATGGGATTAGGCTGTCAGGGCAGATTAATGTGCCCCAGTATTTCACTTCTGGGACCTGGCCGAAAGCGACAAGATGGGTTTTCATTCCCAAGAAATGAGTGTAAGAGATTATGCTAGAAATGAATGGAAGGAATCTCCTAGGAGAATATACTACAAAGCTGTGCCGTACTGATATTTAATCATCGGGGGCAGCTGTAATAGAGAGGGGATGAGTGGGCCATGCTGTCCCTGGAGAGAAGAGAGGAGAGCAATTTCAGAGCGCGGTGGTATTGGTGGCCTCTCTCCCTATTGATCATTCACTGCACGCTCTCCAATACTTAAAAATTAAGGATAAAATATGAAAATGCAAAGGCTCACTTATCAGAAAGGCTAAGGGCATAAATCAAATTGTGCTCTAAAGTCACGCTTTTTTATTGTAGAGGTATTTTGCATTTTATATAGTAATTTGTCCCTTGCTAAAAGTCTCCTGTTTGTGTTTTAATTGCCTACAGATGACAAAAAAGGGTAGCCTATGCATTGCCACATAACGACCATAGCATGTAAGCTCTGTTACCAAATCATCTGAGCGGCTGGGATTCGAGTCTGCAGAGCTTAAGGAAAGGGATTGTCTGCTGCAATTCCTACTTTTCCCAGAATGCTTTGTGCAAGGCCTTGAACACACACACACAAAAAAAAACACTCCTTTATTGAAGAACGAAGGCGGAGAACAGGTTACAGGCTTCTTCTTAGGGATGTCAAACAACGGTACCCTCACTGGGGAAATTTTACTCTACTCACTAAACAGCTGTGTTAAAAGTCGCTCTGACATCCACTGTCAAACGGAATCTTCACTGAGGCCGAGCTAGCCATAGGTGGTGTAAATCCAAACGTGACCTCATGGGTAGTGGAAGGGCTGATGGGCATCTACGAGCTGGGGAGCTGGATGCAAGCTGACTTGGTCTGAGAAAATGCTCCGTACCGTCTTAGAGTACAGAGAGTTGATAGTGGGGCTGGAGGACACAAAGCAGTTCAGTGTCAGCAACTTATTACTTAAACCAACATCAGTGAAAGTCGTTCAGCCCAGGACCTGAGATTTCAGGGCGTTCATTGCCGTTTTTGCAAGTTTAAGTCACTGAACGCAGAGATTCAGTTCGGTTCTACATGCTCTACATTTTGAGTTGCTGGATGTCAGGATACATTTTAGTTTTCTAAAGCTTATCCGGCAAGATGGCTAACAAGCTGAAAGCCCAACGTCAGTAGCCCAAGACAGATGTCCCAAAGTCTTTAACTGCATTGGTGCAGCAGTTAAAGAATGGTTTGGGAATCAGAGATCTCACTCCGAAATGTCATACTACATTTTGGTGGATGAATTTGGACAAGCTGTAAAACGGAGACAAAACTATCTACAGAAGATAGGGCAAGGGCTTGGCAGAGTGAAAAGACAAATGATCCTTTTCCTTGTCTTGGCCCCGAGAAATGTAGCCAGGGCTGGCTGAGGAAGGAATGGGTGAAGGCTCGGCACAAATAGTCACGAGAGCGGGAGAGGAATGGGGGGACACAAGGAAAGAGGCCTTGAAGCCAACTGAGGAGGAAGGCTACATAGGTAAAGATTTTTTTTTGTGTGTGTGTGGAAAAAAAACGAAGAGAAGTTTAAGAAGCGGAAGTAAGAAAATATGACCCATGGAAAACAGGGCCAAGAAGGGAGGGCGTGAAAAAGGGCATTACCCATGTTAATTAGATGCAGAGCACCCACAGACAGGGAAACATAGATACAGGAGAGAGGCGGGAGATGGATGGAAAAGGGTCCTGGAGGAGCGAGGCGAGAAAGATCCCGAGCAGAGGCGGAGCGATTGGCCTCAGACGTGGGAAAGGCAGCATTTTCACTGAGATAGGAGGGAAAGGGGAAAGGATGGGGTGGGATAGATAAGTGTGTAGGTGGCAGGGGAGGAAATTGAGAGCATCCTCGATTGATGGCCTCAATTTTCTCGGTGAAGTAGGAGGCAAGGTGATCCGTAGCGTGCTGTGGGGAGGCAGTGGAGCTTGGGAAAAGAGAACATTGGCGGCGCTGCTAGGAGCCCTGCAGGCTGAGCTGGGGGCGCATGCGCAGAGATTGACACGGCGTCCTGAGCGCGCAGCTGAGTTGAACCGACGTCTATCTACTGTGTCTCAAGCTCGCACAACTGTGATATTTTCTCCCAGGACTTGGACAAGTCTAGGCAGGGTAGCTAGAAATTGAATCGGTAGACCCAACCAAGGCTGTAGTTTTTTGCAGACCCGGATGTCACAGAGGTTTAAGAGGGTCAAGGAACTGTTGGATACTGGCTATCCACGGGAGGCGCTTGAAGTGCTGGGCTAGAGGATGAAAGATGGAGAGAGAGGAGGGCACACGATCAAAGCAGTTTGCTAGACCAGACCAAGACGTCAAGGTCCGGCTCAGGGGGTGTTGGGGGGAGGAACGCTGAAACACGCGGTGGGTTGTTAGGATTTCAGCCGGCAGAGGTCTACCTGTTTGGAGAACTTTGAAGTCTGTCACCTGAAAGCTAATCCCACCCCTCTATAGAAGCTGTTCTTCCTGTTCCCAGCCAAAACGTGTCTCCAGGGCCTCTAACCATCTCCTAAGCATATACCTAGCTCAAAGAACATTAAGACTTGACCTCATTGCGAGAGTCCTGACACCTGGAATTTAACATGCGCTAAGTTCTCTGGCTCTTGCCACAATGTGAGCCACCAAGCAAGCAGTGACTTTCTTGACCAGTTTAACATACTTGGGAGCAGACTGGTCTATGTGTGTGACTGAGGTGCAGGGTGGACAGTCGCTTACCCATCCCTATGTTTATGCGAGTCCTTTGTCTGTTTTCCGTGTCTTCCATGGGAATAGGAAGAACAGAACACTCTTTGCTTCATTAATCTTCCTGAGCCTCTTTTTATTCCAATCACCTCAAAATCAGACCAGAGAGGAGCAGATCCTAGTGGGCTGTCATGCCACAGAGGCAAACAGGCAGGGAGGAAGAGAATAGGACTTTGAAAACCTGAACTGTGCTCTCTGACGGAGGTCAGCAGAGGCAGACCAAATCAACAAGCATGACGTGAAGGGCAAATTTGCAATTAAAAGAAGAATAGGGAATTATAAAGATGGATGGGCCCCATGACATGCATGCCCAGGCCTGCGTGGCCTTGGCCTCCGATGCCAGAAATTAATGCTTTACTCTTTAGCGCTCGTCACCTTTGGCTCCGGACAGAAAGGCAAATGCATTAAAATCACAACAATTAGAACACTTACTTAGCTTGGAAGGCGTTGTTGGTTCCCCTGTGGTCGAGGTCATGACACAGGCATCCCACAATCACCGCCAAAATTTCCACCTCGGTCAGAATCTCTTGAAACCCAGCAGTCTGGGAAGAAGGGGACAATGGCAGGTCAGTGCCAGGGGCAGGGGGCTGGGGAAACCCAGTCAGCTGAGCAGCAATCGGCTGGTTGCAGGCCCACACCATTTTAGCAAATGATTACCTGTCACCCTCTTAGATGGCAGTGTGTTGAGTGGCCACTTGCTTAGCCTGAGGTCCTTACAGTGAGGGATTCGCTTGCTGTCGCATCGGGACAGAGATCAGTCTGCTTCCTTTCCTTCTATAGAGAGGAGGTTGTGTTCTCCACACCCACAGTTTGGGGAAGGCCCAGAGTGAAGTGTGTTTTCCCACTGCACACAGTATGATGAGTGTTGTATTTGGAAATAGGGGGATATGAAGGGACCTTCAAAACCGAAAAGCTCTGGACCCCGGATGCTCCTCAAATGAGAATCAGCAAACACAAAAAACCTTCCTTATAGCAAATGGAGGAGAAGTACTCAAATTGCTGCTTGATGATGGCCTAGAATTATCTTACAAATCCCGGACCCCATGCTGAGCTGGTAGACAGACTGAAACGCAAATGGGTAAATCCTAGAAACTGAGATTTGGCAGTAGACTAGACAACCAGGACAGAGCATCACAGGAAGAGTACACAATTTTGAGGCCTTTGTTTCTGATCCCAGTAGCTGTGTGAAGTACGTGGCTGGGGCGTAATTCCTCCTGGACACAGTTGGATATCATTACGGGCACGAGAACCACACCAGCTCTCTGGGTCCAGCTGGCGCTCTCATTAGTCTGGAGGAGGAAATGCACCTTTGGGAGAAAGAGCTGTGTGTCCTCTCCATCCGTGGCCTTTCCGGCCCCTCCCCCTCGCGGTGGAAGTCTCCACTTCCATTACTTATTAAATTCTTTATCAGAAGATGGGAGGAGGGGAGCCTGCTGGTATGTTCAAGGTATGTTTCTCCATCACTAATCTCGGATCACCCGCTAATACCTGCAAGACTTTTAGGGCAATGAAAACCTTGTTCTTTTAATTGGTTTTGGTTTTAATACAGACGTAACTGAGTGATGGGATTGCTGTATTGACAATTTTATTTTCCAAACAGCCTTGGTTCCTCGGCAAGATTTGGAAGCACATATGACATCACTTAGGCAGCAGATGGAACCGGGAATAAACTGACGGGGGCCATGAAGTAGTCCTTGCCAAAGCTTGGCACACCCTTCATTTTAAAACTTGTTGATATTAGTTTTTGTTTATTTTATTGCCTGTAATCGTTTTCTAAAACCACGCTCAGAAACCTAAAGCCAAAACTCTCGTTGTTCATATTTCCTGATTCCTAAAGGCAACCAAATTCATTTGTTTAGCTAAATTGCTGACATTTTTACCATATTGCCACAAAATGTCCATACGGTTTAGTACTTGATCACTCACCAAATACCTACAGTCTTTCCTATGTTACTATAATTTCCCCTAGGAGTTTTAGACTGCTTAACCTACTTAATATTTTTTTTTACCAGTCTTATGAGGCAATAGCTACGATTGTTCTGTTACAGATGGGGAAATTGAGTCACAGAAGGGCTCCACGCTGTGCCTAAGGACTCACAGCTAAAACAGGGCAAAGGGGAGCACACCCACATCCCATCCCAAGTGTGCTTTAAAACATTGATGGTGTAGTGGTGATATTCCCCGCATTTCCCCTCCACTTCCAACGTAAGCCATGCTCAGAGCTTTCCTCATGATCACCCTCTAAATACTAACTTCCCACCGCCAGACCGAAGAATACATGAAGATTCTTTTCTTAAATCCTTTCATTTCCTGGGGTTCAGATCTCTTTGGAACAGCTGTGCCTTTCATATCCTCCATGACTTTATTAAATGTCTATTAAGTAATTTTGAAGAGAAGCAAACCTTTCACACTTCTTGCACGATCTTTTGTGTCCTGGAGGTAGTCGGGTCTGGCTTGTCCCCTCTTGGGGCTTCTGCTTTCCCATTCTGGGGATGATCTCTTTTGCTTGTATCCTATGCCTTTTCTCGATTTCTGCCTCATTTTGCAGGAACACATCTGTCAGTCTTCATAAAGAAGTGTGTCCATTTCTTGGGGAGCCAGTTGCTCTAGGTTCTGCATGGCTGGGATGGGAACGGGAGGACCTTATTCTATTTTCACACTCACTGTTGGTTTGCCTAACAGTTCTGGGGGGGAGGGGAAGTAATTTCTCTCAGAATTCTCAAAGACTAACTACTTTATACTTTATTGTCTAATTTGTAAAGTTGTTTTTTGAAAAAATATGACCTTCTTCTTCTTCTTCTTCTTCTTCTTCTTCTTCTTCTTCTTCTTCTTCTTCTCCTTCTCCTCCTCCTCCTCCTCCTCCTCCTCCTCCTCCTCCTCCTCCTCCTCCTCCTCTTTCTTCTTCTCAAGCAAACACTCTGGTTCCTGAACAGGTTGGGGTAAGAGCAGATCCTCAACTATGCAGAGGGGAGATGGGTACTTGGGGTCTCAGCATGTCACTGTACCCTATTTAGTGACCTCTGAAGTCTCTGGTTCCCAGGCTTTGGCAGGTCTGGGAAAATTGTTCTCATGTATACCCTCCACCGCTGCCCTGAAGGCAGAGGGCTGGACCTCGTTCTTTATTGAGGAGTTCTAAACTATCTTTCTCTCTCTATTTTCTGCCTTTGTTGCTGATTTTTTACACAGTAACCATTTATTTTCCCCTTCTCTTGAAATTTGGCACCTCGTTCTAAAATTATTTATATCACAAATATTTTTGAGAATCTAATAATGAGATACATGAACTCCCTTTCTATAAAATCTTATGATTTCACATGACTCCAAGGCTACGCCCCTCATCTCTGGACCCTTAGGATAAAGACTGCTTGAAGTTCGCCATACGCATGGCCGTGTGGCCGTACAAGGCGTATTTACCTCTCCCGGCTGTGGCACCTGAATTACTGAAGCAGCTCTAGCTCTTGACTGTGATTTAGAGCTGCCGGGTAAATGGTTTCTGAGAATCATCAGGCCTGAGAAGTGTCCACCTGCCACTCAGTTTCTATTCGCTCCTCCCACCCTCATCCATCTTCCTTCAGTCCCATCCATCCATCCAGACCTACATCTACCCATCCTGAGCAGAAAAAGTCAGCGGCCTGCTGAAGATAATATACTTTAGAGAGAAAACAGAGAGGCAGGGGAGTATGTCGTGATGTGTTTCTTTCTATTATATTTTCAAATAAAATCATGTCCCTCCTCAATAATTATGAGTTTTCTTGACCCTCGTGCTAACGTATCTTCTCACGCGCGCGCTCTCGTTGTGAATATCAGACATATGAGCAATAGAGACCATCTGTCCAAGTAAAGAGACAACCAGGGGCATCTATCTAATCCTCAAGTTACCTGCTAAGAAAAGCCGCGTTATTTCCCATTGACGCAGCCTCCGGGGCCGCTTTTCAAGGGGCTGACGTGTTTGTTGGGATAATTCTTTCCCTCCTTCCCACAGCACACAACACTGAAGATTGTAGAGTCCCCAAGTCTGGAAGACACCTTCTCGGGTTCTGCTAGGCTACCAGCGAGTTTCTGTCAGCAGCCAACATGAGAGCTAAGGCAGTTAGGATGTCTCTCCATTTTGAAGCTGAGCCTGTTAGCAGCAAACACAAGACTATCACAGGCAAGAAAGTGTCACGGTGGTTCTGTTGGATTCAAACAGTCGCAAAATACAACAGCTACAACAGCTGTACTATCAGCCCCAGGCGGTGCTATAGAATTTTTTTTAATTTAATGGCTGCTACTAGGTACTTGCTATGTATCAAGCAATCGGTATGTTTGCGAGACTAGGCTTGGGAAAACACTAACGATGATTAATACTGCCATAGCGCTCAGAGTGTGCCAAACACTCTTGTAAATATGTCAGTTTCACGAACCCTTTCTCTCAAGAACCCTCTAGGTAGAGACTACTCTTCCCTTCCTATCTCACAGATGTGCCTGATAACATATCTGAATAGCAGAGATGGGATTAGAACCCAGACAACCTGGCCTGTGAGCCACCTCTTCTGTGAGAGAATACAGCGACAGACGGGCAGGGTTTAAGCGCTGTGGACGGGTAGTAGGGCTTTACAGAATCACTTGACATGGGCTTTATTCACGAATTGCATTAATCTCAAGCAGTTGGGCGGTAATGGTGCGCATGCCCTTAATTCCAGCACTCAGCAGGCAGAGGCAGGGAGACCTCTGTGAGTTCAAGGCCAGCCTGGTCTACAAAGCGAGTTCCAGGACAACCAGGGCTGTTACACAGAAAAACCCTGTCTCAAAAAACCAAAAAAAAAAAAAAAAAAACCAAAAATAAAAAAAAAATCTAATAGCAGATATGAAATAGCCCACTTTTATAAAATGTCTAATATCTGCAAAGGAGAAAGCCTGCTGGATATCATTAGGAGGTCAGCAGTCTAATTTCAAAAAACTTTACTTTGTGTCAAAAAATCCACAAAGAACATTTATTCATTAAAATTGATATACTCTGTATTTTTCAGATTTCTTTTAAGAAAAAGAAAATTTAATTTGTAATTTCCAAGGTTTGGGATATGATCATCTTTGTTTTTTTAATATTTAATAAAAATTTATAGAAAATTTCTATTTTTAATAGAAAACAATAATTTTTCTATTATTAAAATAAATTTTAAATATATTAAAATATATAAATATATTAAAATAATTTTTAATAGAAAATAATAATGAAACAGCTTATATTGAACTTAAAAGTGCATATATTTTTGTAACCAAACTATTCCAGGTTTGAATGAAATGGTGACGTTCTGAAAAGTACCCATCCACTTAGCAAATTGAGTATTTGCGTCAGCTCAAGCCAAGGGAAGCGTGCAGTAAAGATCACAGTCTAGTCTTTGCCTTCCTGGGCTGCACATCTCATCCAGCTATGCTGAGAACCTGGCTGGCTCCATGGAGATCCTGCATCGTGGGAGAGCGCCATGGCAGAAAGGATCTGGCATCTTTGCTTCGCTTTTGGAGACAGCACTTACTGCCTTGCAAATCTTGTCATGTTTGCATC